CAGTGTTAATTTGAATTCAAGGGTCGAGCAAACGTCCATGCAAGTTCAATTCTGTTTGAAATCTGCACCGTGTTTGACACGTTGCTGTAAGGCAAGGGGTTAATTAGTTGTAGGTGTTTTGATTGTAGAAATTGTGGTGTTTGTCGATTACCATTTTGACTGTCACGGCGGTCACCGATGACCGGAGCTTTCAAATTTTCCGTAACGTGCATAACTAGATAATAGGGTAATATGTTAATTTTCATGTCAAAGAATTAATAACTGCTTTGTATCTTTCTATGTTTTTCGTGTGAATTGTTGATGATGAGGTAATAAGGGAAATAGGGAAGAAAAGGGAAAAATGGCGTGATAGGAATTATCTTCTGGTGATTCTGATGTTGATTTTAATATTGATTGTAAGATTGCATTGTTAATAAATTTTGGAATGCGATATGAATGTACGAGTGATTTTCTGAATAATGTTTCAATATTCGTTATTTGATTTTGCAGGAGTTTCGAAGTGATCATCGATAGCTGTACCACAAGAATAACCTTCATCCCTCGCAATGTAATCCAGAAATTGCGACACACCAGGTATGCATCGAATCTACATAAAAAGCGAACACGAAAAGGTAGAACAAACTTCCCAGAACACTTGATTCCCAAGATAATCGACTTAGAAACTCGCCGCGACACGGGAACTATCAACTTCAAGTAGAATCGGCAGGTCATAATCAGACAAACAGACTCTCCTACAGTATCGCGCTCAACTTTCGAATCTGTTTATCTCAGTAACCAACTCAGCCACAAAAGAACTTCTCCATAATCCTCTGTAACCGAACAACACCACAATTCCCCAGGAATGTCTCAAAAATCCCTTTTCCGCTGAAAAACACCTCGATCTGCTCCTTCGGAGGAAAGCGCGCACAAGGAGAATCAAGCTAATCTCAAAGAAAAACGGCGCGCAACGGCGTTAATCAGATTACATCGATTACTTTCCATCAGCCGGCCATTTCCTAGCCGCCAGTCGAAACTGGCCGGCGAAGCGTCGGCCAAAATAAACGCGTTAAACGCTTCCGAAATAACAGCTGAAACGGCGAACGGTCAAATGAACGGTATTTTTCGGTGGACAGAGGCCGCGTCGGCGGGCTGCGACCTCCGCCCTTTTCGTCCCCATTATCGCTCATTGTTCGGAATTTGTCGTGCACTTCGGAAAGTTTGCAGAGCCGCGCGCGCGCGCGCGCGAAAATAACCGGCGATTATTCGTTAGTGTCGTTATCGGCGCGTGATCGCGAAACCGCGGCAACGGCCGTTGATCAAACGGTTACGTATCATCGGCTGGAGGCCGCTAATTAGCGTGATTGCCGGGCGCTCGCGCGAGCGGCCGGATTATGAAACCAGCTTCGTTAGATAATTACGCCGGCAGTTTCGCATTGCCGCGCCGAATTACAAAGGCACGTTGGACCGAAACTTCGCGGGGGAGCGCGCCCTTTGTCAAATATTCCGCGGATTCTGATTAGAAGTTCGCCGAAGCGGACGGATCCAGGTCGATCATGCGTCGCTGCGACGAAACACGACGCGATTAGACGCTACCTGCCGCCTGCTGGTTGAACGTGACGTTAACTTGCTTTGTTTGCGGATCCACGGTGCACGGGAGTTCGTTTGCCGGCGGTAATGCGCTTTGCGCGAAGAACTGGGTTGATTAAGCTTTGACTTTTCAGTTGTTCGTCGATTCTCGCTTGTTTCTTTGGGAACAATTTATTTCGGAATTGTTGGCGTACTCTGTGTTCGTTGCTGCGATTGGGAGAATGTTTCATTTGAATTTGAAGTGATCAAACACGTGATCAAACACGTTTGATCTGTCGTTAATGGGTTAATCGAGGTTTCTTTAGTTTCAGGAAAAGTTACGCTGAGGATAGTGGATGAGAATAAGTTTTCATGAGATATCTTTGTTTTCGAGGATTCTATAGTTTCTTCATTTTTGAGAGATCGTAGAAGATTCTAGGATTTGCTGCAATGTTGCTATCTAGGAAGGTTGGGGAAAAACGCAGAGAATAATGGAGATTAAAGTGCAGTGGAGAAGTTGGCCGAGGAATCGAGATGGCAGTCCGAGTTACCTCGATATGTAACGGTTATCGAAAGCTCGTCTTCATCGGTAACGTTAGACGTGGAGGACGATAATAAAATATTCGATTTCCCCGGGAACAAGCGCACCAGCCGGGGGCGGAATTAATTTCGTCGATGTCTGCCCCTACCGCGATATTAAGAGATCGGTAATACGCCCTAAAAGAACGAGAGAAAGAGGAGGAAAGGAAGGAAGTAGGAGAATAACAGTCGACGGGTAGTTCCTTACGCTATTTTTCATCTGGATCGCGGAACACGGAGCTGCTTAATGCTCGCTCGAAGGGGATGAAATTCTCTCCGACAAGGGGACATCTATCGACAAACCAAGCCAGGTGTTCTTTCACCGGAAACGTGAGGAGACTGTGAATTATGGGACTGAAAACCCTACGGATGAACTCTTAGAAATATTCATATATTCTCTGTCGAACGTATCAGTTTCTTGTTCGATGCGGGATTGTAAAAAGCATCGCGGAGAGATGCTGATGATAAAGGACTCTCGACGGCAGGAGAATAGTCGATGCTTGGTCAGACGTCGGAATAAGTTGTGAGGTTTCCCAAGGGAATGCTGACGTGCATCGTGTTTTGAATTTGGTATTTTAATGGATTGGGGAATTAAGGTCTATTCTGATTTATTGAATGAATATTGTTGACATCTGTGAAATAAACAGGATTAGGAAATAAATAATGTGATTTATCGTAGATCCCAAGTACTTCAGTCTTCTGATACTTCGATTAGAAATTTTTAACGCTACGAGTCCTTCAATCTCTCTAAATCTATTACACATTTTCAACATTCCAAACACTTCTGTTTTTTAACATTCCTATCACAGATTTTCAACATTCCGAATATATCTACGTTTTAAAATGCTCCACTTTAAATCCTCGATATCCCAATTACTTCAATCTTTTCAGACTTCCATCACAAATTCCGAAGATCCCCAAGTTCCTCAATCTCTCTAAATCTATATTACACATTTTCAACATTCCTATCACAGATTTTCAGCATTCCGAATAGGTCTACTTTTTAAAACCTCCACTTCAAACCCTCGATATCCCAATTACTTCAATCTTTCCAGACTTCCATCAGAAGCTCCGAAGATCCCAAGTTCCTCAATCTCCCTAAATCTATCACACATTTCCAACATTCCAAACACTTCTATTTTTCAAAATCCCATCACGCATTTCCACCCTTCCACACATCTATTCTTCGAAACCCTCCGCCCGAAATCCTCAAGATCCCAATTACTTCGCCTTCCTCGCGCCCGAGGAAACCGCGGAGTCCCAAAAACTATCCGACTTCAATATGCCTTTCAGCGAAATGGGAAGACGCCTGTACACGTTCATGCACCCGCAGGAAGGGAAGCGTAGCTTTGAAATTTTCGAGCGTTCCATCCAGCTCCCAGAAGGCGTCCGATACACACGCCGCACGTCTGAGCTGCCTCTGGGATTCGGACGCGCGGCCGCCGGTACATCTGTAAATAAGCGGCAGACTTTCGATCCGCGGCTTTTTATCATTCATACGCCCCTTCCCCGGTTGCGCTCGGCTATTCAGCGCGCGTCTTCTAAACGAGACTCCTTTGAAGCCGTTAAGGACAGCGACACGGACAGGTTTCCTCCGCGATGCGAATACACGCCGCGAGAAGGAGAAAGAGCGGGTCTCTCTATCCCGGCTCGCGAAGAATTTCCGCGCACGTCCCCTTTCGCCGTTTTCAATCCGCTCATTCATAGTCCGCGCGACTGCCTGACTTTAATTGGGGGGAGGCTTCTCGCGGCTTACCTTGGCGGATTGTAAACTCGCCGAGAATGTTATTTTGCCTCTTCTTTCTCGCTGTTTCTCTGGGCTAGGCGTGTGAGTTGGGTGGAATAAACAAGACCTAATTTTGGGATCGTTTGGGAGCCTAGTTCCTTGGGTAAAAGAGTTTAGGATTTTCTGGGGATTTTCGTGAAGGATGTTTAGGGTGTAAGTTGGTTTGGTTAGAAACTAACTATTCTATCGATTATTCATACGAAGACCTAACTTCTTTAGACATTTATATGAAAGACCCTTTCATCAGACATCTAGATATAATCCAACGTTTCCATAGAATATATAGATATAGCACTCGCTCTAACTTGATACTTTGATAGAAGACAACATACAGGATATCCCAGTAGATCAGACATTCTCATCAGCACTGCCCAAAGTAGAGCATCAGAATAACCAGCTCTACTCGTTCGAAATACAGGAGCACTTAACACATTGTGGACCGGCCACGAGTTAACTCGTGCTTGCATTAGCTGTTTCAATTTTTGAAACACAAAATTTTGAATATTCAAAATTATATTTCAATTTATTATACGTAAATGAAGTATATTGAAGTTTATTTGGATTGTTTTACTTTCATTAATTACGAAATAACTACGACATGAGATAGCTTCTGCATGGAATTGCCGGTGAACAATGTGTTAACCCTTTGCACTCCAAAGGTGTCTCACCACTCGATTGGTGAAAATTGTAAAATTTCGTATTTAACAAGTCTCGAGTAATCTGTCGATACGTGAAATGTGGAAATAAAGTATCATCGTTCCCCTTATTTTGTGAACTTAATATTCTATAATTAATATTCTATAAAGTAACTTAACGAGGAATCTATTCACAAAATAAGGGGAACAATGATACTTTATTTCCACATTTCACGTATCGACAGATTACTCGAGAATGGAATAATAGAATAATAAATATTCTATAATTAATATTCTATATTTAATATTCTATAATTAATATTCTATATATTATTCTATTATTCCATTTATTATTCTACAATTAAATTACTAATTATTCCACAATACATTCATTATAGAATATTTCTAGCGACAAATGTTTGGAGCGCAAAGGGTAAAGAAGAATCGTCGCCTACCTTGTCCCTGATCTCCTGTCGCATCTTCTCCCGTTCCTCTTCCATTTTGCGGTGCTTCTCCTTCCTTCGCTCTTCAGCCTCCCGGATAGCTTCTTGCCTTTCCCTCTCGGCCTCCTCCTCCTTCTCCTTGTCATCTTCGTCTCCGCCTTCGCCACCAACGGCTCCTGCAAACAGAAACCAGAGGAACACATGTAAAAATCCGTCTTCCATCCTCGATCGTTCTTCCCTGTCATCCTCTCTTTCGCTCTCTCAACCGTTCAACGCCCTAATCGACGGTCCCACGGGAAGCCGCAGCTTTCTCCCGGCTTTATTCATTGAAGCGCAGTTCTGCCGGGCTTCATTCGGGTTATGCCGGGTGTACAAACTACCGGGTTATAATAGACGACGAGAAACTAACGGTTTACCCTCGGGAGCAAACATTGTAAATCAGAGGCTGATCGCTGCGATACCGGTCCCCGGCAGCTCGAGCGCGCCGCCGCCGTTCTACCGGGTACGTCAAGTTTCCGCGGAAGATTATTATTCGGCTGCTCGATCGATCCCCGGTGAATAGGGAACTTCGAACTCGAAGATAATCGTTTTGTTCGTTTGCGGACGCTTTGCATAATGCACTCCCTTCTTGTTCAAGCAGAAAAGATTACAGGATGCTAGGAAATTCTATTGAAATAGTTGCTGGTTTCTTGTAAGATCCTTGAGAAGCAGAGCTTTGCAGCTTTTTATTCAGGAATATCGTGAAAGAAAATTTTGAAGAGGTTTGAGGTTCTATTGGAGGAACTGGTAATTGGTCATGAGATTATTAACAGAGGACAGAAGATTCTATCGAAATCGTTAATTGGTAAGATTGGTACAAGGATCTGTATGTATCTGTATATAAGATTGTAGGATGCTGGGAAATTCTAAATAGTTGCCGCTTTCTTATAAGATCCTTAAGAAGCAGAGCTTTGCAGCTTTTTATTCAGGAATATCGTGAAAGAAAATTTTGAAGAGGTTTGAGGTTCTATTGGAGGAACTGGTAATTGGTCATGAGATTATTAACAGAGAAGATTCATCATTAATTGGGTTTGAGATTAATAATAAGAGGATCTATTTTCATTGGAAGTATCATATAAATACTAAATTTATGAAACAGAAGTATAGAGAATTCTATTCAAACGATTGATTACCAGCAAAGTTTGTAGTAATTAGATCGGCGTGATTTCCATCGAGGAATATTATAGAATCACCGAGTTGTCGATGCTCCATCTATTGTCTCGTGTCCCATTAAACAGGAATTTTACACTAGGAAATTCCCGATTCCCAATAAGATCGAATTAGAGTCGAGCTAAAACCGCTACAAAATTCTACAGAACGATTCCCGGCGCACGTATTCCGATAATTACTTTCAATCTCGAAGCAGAAACTGCCTCTCCCGGGCGCATTCCGCGATCGCATTTACTCCGGCCGTTAAAAGGCTGTCGGCAGCATCGCCTAAGCATCTCTCCGATCAATTTCACGGTTCCTCGGACATCCCTGATGGAACGAATCGCGGAAAAGGCCGCGTTTACCTTTCCCTCTCCCCGTGGAAATGCCGGATCGATCTTAACACGTTCCCCGCCGCGGGAATTTTGAGCGTTCTATGCAGTATCAGCCAGATTGGCCAACTTCGCGGAACAAACAATAAGGAAAGGTAAACTGCGATAATGTACATTCGTGTAGAAACTTTTTCTTTAAATAAAACATCGAACGGACGTTATAGACGTCAATATTATGCATTTTTAGAGGTTCGGTTTTAACCTGTCGAACATATAAAATGCATAGAATGCATTTATTTCCGTGTAATTATTGGATTTTATTATTATTGCAGCTAAAGTAATTTCTGTGACTTCATAGCACTAAATTCAATGATGTTTATTTTAAATATAGGGAGTTGAGATTCAATTTTGACGATTAAATTAGAAAAGACTAAAATTAAATTAGAGTAAACTGATTTCCCAAGTTGACTCGTACGTTCTGAATTGACTTTTCAACTTTCGCAATGATTACGAAATTAACACACTGCGTACCGGATAATTTTGAGAAAACTGAATTCTGATGGCAATTTCCACTGAGGTCTACTTATATCACTGTACATAGAAAAACTCAGATATATTGTTATGTAATATATTTTAAATGAATAATCAATTCGAATTCAATTTTATATTTTCTCAATGCTGTGGTGATCAGCGAAGCTGCATAGCTGAGTGTTGAAACTGTTAGAACTGATTTATTCGCTATATTTTCAATTCAATCCGCGTTTGTATTAAGATATCATTCAAAACACAACGAAAATATTCGTGTTGACAGTCGTAAATGCTTCCCTGACAAATAGTGCGCTCGCGAATGGCAGCGAATGGGCTAAGTTTTATTAGTTTGCCGAAAGATCGGCCGGATTTTCGGCGTGTTCCCGCGGAAAAATCGTGTTTACGGCAAACAGCGATATCCGGCCTGTTCATTTTCCCCGGCGGCCCCTTCGGCGCAACGCGAAAATAAGAGGCGGCTGTTTGCGAATCCGTTAGCGCGCGGTGCACTTAACTTTCCGCCCCGCGTCGCGGAAATTAATGGCAAACAAAGGGGAATTTGTCTCCTCGCGATGCTCTTTTCCCGCGTAAATAACGGCCCTCGCACGCGAACCAGGGGCTGGAGGGATGGATCGCGTCACAGGGCGATCGTCGACGCGACGACGAAGACGAACGGGCTTATCGGATCGCGATTAAACGGCGATTTGTCTTTCTTTCGTTTAGTTATTCCGCTTTGAAACACGATTTCTGCTTAAACGACGGTGTAACTGGTGTTCTATCGCGTTGGAAATTATGCTTGATTTGTTCATTGTAAATACTTAACCCTTTGCACTCGGATGTTTACTAGAAATATTCACCATTTCCTTACGAGGCGAAGACGATGTTCTTCGAGACTAGTTTGAAGAGAAATCACCGGTATTGAGGAACAAAGTTGTTTTATTCCAATGTTCCACGTGCCGAGGCATTATACAAAGCTTAACTTTAAATATCACATTCTATAGTTTTACTGTGTCAAATCAAGTGACTGAGAGCCTCGCAGGTTTCGTCGATAGTCCTAAAGCGATTTAGCGACGCGACAGATTTCTCGCAGCACGATTTCACCTCGCATCACTCTCGACAGATGGATCGGCGAGCGTCTTCGTCCCTCGTTCTTTTTATTTCCCGCCGTTTGCTGGGCGATGAAGCAAAGCGAGCGATAAACAGAATAAGAACTCGCGCTGCGTCTAGATTTCGCTTTGAGCCGACAGGAGCGGAAGGCGCCGCGACGCGACGCGTCGCGACGCTGGCAATATCATTGGGAGAGACACATGGAGAGACACGGGGCCGAAGGGAAGCGAGAAAAGGGACTGCCGCTCGTCTTTCCCGCTGTCTGCCCGGAGAATGATGTGCCAGGACCTCCGGGCTCGAGGAAATTAATACTACTTCTGTCCCGGCGCCGTCTGCCATTTTCCCTTTCTTTCCGTGGTACATCTCGTCCTTTCTATTTGCAGTGTTTCCCGCCAGCTCGAAAGGTACCTTTGAAGTCCGAGCCAGCGGGAGGACGTTCATCCTTTTTCTATTCTTTTTCTCCTTCCTGTTCCTTCATCCTTTTATCTCTTTCTCCCTCTTCCTCGCAGCTGTTTACTTTTCTCTATGGATCGTGCATTGTGCTTTCGATGTTTTTGGGGCAGCAATCTTCCGAGTTCACTGGCCTCGTTTACATGATCGTCTGTGTGTAATTTTTATCCTTTTTAGAAGGAACTTTGGGATCCGAACTTTTTAGGAGTTTTGTACCTTTAGATGTAGATTCAGATACTTGGATGTGATTTCAGTTGTAGGTACAGGTAGAATTGTCACAGATAATTGATAATTATTAACTTTAAAATAGCAATCTTGTAATTTTAGATATACTTTATAGTTTTAGATGTGATGATATAATTTTAATTATAGGTATAGGTAGAATTGTCATAGACAATTGATAATTATTTACTTTAGATTACAATTTTGTAATTTTAAATATAGTTTTACAGTTTTAGATGTGTTGATATAATTTTAATAGTAGGTATAGCTAAAATTCTCACAGATAATTGATAATTATTAACTTTAAAATCACAATCTTCTAATTTTAAACATTATAGTTTCAGATGTTCAGATATAATTGTAATTACAGCTACAGAATCACCACACATAATTGACAATTACACAATCACACTCTCTTCAAACACTATTCCCCGAATTCCAAACAACAAGAATCACCACCATTATAAGCATACAATTTTAATAACCTCCCATTACAACCAATCGTCCCCAATCCCTCGAACTCAATTTCACACGAGCGGATCGCCTTTCAATTACATTCTCTCCGACTTCGATTAAACATTCAACCCCGACGAGCCCCATCGAACTTCAAGAATCCATTAACTCCAGTCTCCCGAGTTCCATTTTTCTATGAAATTAAACACCCACGTAAACATCCTCTCCGTAGCATCAATCCAGCCAGATTCCTCCGCGTGTCTCTCGCCGGAACGCGCGCCGCCGATTAATCACCGCTTTCAACGCGGCGCAGCTTAATTCCTTCCGCCAGCCACGGAGAGCCCGCGAGTTAAGTTTCTTTGTCTTGTCATTTGTGCGCCGCGCGCGGACGCATTTACATTATTACAACGTCCTTATTACAACCAGCGGGTCGCTCTCCTTTCCGTCCTTCCGTTTCGACGAGTCGGGACTTCCTTTTCCCGTCGACGGGCTCGGGGATCATTCGGGAAGCCGGCCGGGAAAGACGAATGAAATCCACTTATCGCCTCGTCCACTCGCCCGTTCATTCGCGCGGACGTTCATCCATCATCCGGGGGCTTTAATTAAATTTAAAAAAGCTGAAACTTATCGCGAATACGCCGATTCCTCGTTTTTCTTTCCGCGAGTCCTGCGACTGGATGGCCTACTTGTTTTCATGGAGATATTCAGCTGCGAGTGTGCTGTTGTAGATCATTAGATCGTAAGATTAATAAGTTAATATTAATTAACGATTAGAGAAAAATGATTTCATTTATATTTTAACAATGTTATGATTTTTTATTTTATGTTTGTGTGCTACAACACCTTTCTCTATAAGATCAGGAATTTCATGGCATGAGCAATTCCAAATTTTGGAACGT